TACCTGTGAGGGTCTCTCCATTTTCTCTCCATTTGACTCCTCCTGGAGGCTTACCCACAGAATGTCTGCTCGTCGCTGGCCTTCTCCAGGGTGGCGGTGCCACTTCTACATGCTAAGGGCATATATACCAGCTCTATCCTGGTCCAAGTTTAATAACCATAGCTTCTGCTCTTACATACTGAAGTTTAGCAAAGATCTAGAAGTGCTTTGTCACCCAAAATGTATCAGTGTTTTTCAACCCGGGGGTAGTAGTCTTCAGAGGCACACCCTTTTCTTTCTCCTCCACCACTGCTCTTCTCTTTCCTTTTTGTTACAACTGCTGTCCCAACTTGTCCTTATTCTCCTTTGTAGATATCCTCTGCTCTCTTCTCCTTTGTTTATCTTCTGTGATGAATAAAAACCATCAATACTTCTTATTGCTGGTCGTGAAAGAGAAAACCTGTCACCTCTGAAGATGCGGAGGGACAGGGGGGCAGCCCTTTGTAAACCCTCAGGGGGCCACGCAAAGTGTTTGCTCATTTTGATTCCTTTTTTCTCCACCTGATTGGAGCAAAGGCATTTCTTTCTTTCTCTTTCTCTTTCTCTCTCTCTCTCTCTCTCTCTCTCTCTCAGTCTAGAACTAAATGACTTGACCTCTCAGGATCTCTGTTACCTCCTCTATGAAAGGAAGTAGATCTACCTCTAACATTGTATTGATTGACTGATCCGTTCAATAAATATTTGTTCTACTGATATAAGTACTTCAGGTAACAAAACCAAAGATCTGCACATTTGGATCCCTTGAGGACCGTAGTTAATAACCTGTGAGTGAAAATATCTTTTTTAATTCGATTAATGAGGCTCTATAAATAATAAGTCCTCATTATTATCCTTGCCTGGGAGTTTCTATTCTCTAGCTACGCTTCTGCAAATATCACCTATTTTCCACTTCAGGTGGTAACTTCTTGGTTGCTGGCAGAACAAAAGGGTTCACAATGCTACTGGAAAGAGTCATCTATGAGACATCATTGTAGAGAGCGGAATCCAAGTCACAGTTGAACGTCTTATGTGTGGGCTTGTGCTCCTAGATGCAGTCTTTCTTTTTCACATAACTGTTCGAGGAGGTGCCACCTACTCAACTTTACAACTAAACTCACTCTTTCTTTTATGTGTATTAGGGACATATGTCAAATGTGGTAGTGGAATTAGGAATTACATTATAACTGAATTGATGTGAAAATATTTTGTGTTCTCGTTTTAAGTATTTTATGCTTGTCTACCTTTGCAGAGCATTCACTAAGGAAGGAACTGGTATTGAGTGAGATAAGCATTAAAAAAAGATTAGTTCATAACCAGTTAACTGCTACGCGTCCAAAACGGAAACCATCCCTTCACACCACGATATTTTGAATTTAATTTTAAAAATCAATTTGCAATGAATATTATAAAAATAAATGTATTACTCACAATTCAGGTGTTCTTGAATATTTTCAGCTGAAAATTCTCATGAAAAAATGATTTTAAAGTTGGCCAGGGCTGCTACTTAGGGAAAACATTTTTTTTTTATAGACGCACGTGGCAT